AAATTTTTCAACGCACCGGCCCCAGGGAAGATTTTTAAAGGTACGTTTGCCTATAGGGGGTTGGGGGAAGACTCAAATCCCACCCTAACCCTTATTATAACCCCCGAGTGAAACCACCGACGTTTCCCTAGGGGTACCGGGGGTAAATCCCTTCATAAAAAGAAACCAACCCGGGCCCTTCCGGTTATCCAACCCCCCCCGGTATAGATTTGGTTTACGTCTGCCAAACCTTTTAAATTTTCGGGGTTTTTAAAAATTAAAAAACAAAAAGAAAATTTTAACCCCCTGTTTTGTAAAAAAATATATTATTAATTTGACACAAAAGGGGGTTTATTGGGCAAAATTTAATTCTTTCTTTAAGATTAAGGGGGTTAAGTTTCCCACATACCACCTTTCTTTTTAAAAGGGTCAGTCTTAAATGGTTGTCAACTTAATGTTTAAATTTTATAAATCATTTATCCCAAAAAAATACAATTAGTTGTTGGGTTTTATAAAAAAGGGGTTTTGTTAATTATTAAACTTTTTTTTTCACCCCAGTAAGGGCATTTCAGAAAAACCTTAAACTCCAAAACATTGGTAAATGTCATTTAAAATTTTAACCCACAGACGTATCTTTTCAAAGTTTTTTTTGACTGGGGTGGGAAAAATTTTTCCCTTAACCTTAGCTTCAAAAAACTTTAAATAACCCTTGGGCAAAAAACATTGCGAGAAAAACATGCCCAAAAAATGCTGTAGTGAAGATGTAAAACATTTATTAAAATTAAAACCCCTGGGTTTCCCTCCCAAGCACAAAAAGAAAATCAATAAACTTAAAAATTCTTAAAATTTTAAATGCAAACAAATCAATATTATCCCCGAAAAGGAAAAAAAATGTTTGCAATCATTTTAAAAAAATAAAAAATTTAAACTCATTCAGTACAATAAAAACAAACAAAACTTCTTGTTTTTAATTCATTTACCAATATATTTTCCCGAAATAAAAATTTTGTTATTGAACCAAACAGCAAAATAGTGCTTAGAAAATGTAATAAACTAAAGAAGCCTATTAATAATAATTTCGTTACTTTTGTAAACCCCTAAAACACCTTTGTTTAACCCAATGCAAAATTTAAAAATGAAGCCCCGAAAAATAAAATATTATTGCTGACAATTTTTGGAAAAGTCTACCAAAATCCCCCCCCAAATACAGGCCCCCCCCTTTTCCTTTCCCCCCCCCTTTTCACAAAACCCCCAAAAATTCCCCAACCCCCTATCCTAAAAGCCCGGGTTTTTTGTTCGGGACTTTTTAAAAAATAAAAATTAAAAAGCTTTAAAGGGCTTTCTTTGTTTTTGTAACCCTTAATTTTTCAAATCACCCCGATCCCTTCTTCTTTTTTAATAAACGTCAAACCCAAAGATAAAGGGGAAACCCCTAAAAGGGCATTAAAACTTTTAAAAATTAAAAAAATTAAAAATTCCCAAAACCTTTAATTTAAAAACAAATGTTTTAGGGGAATTTTTTTATATTTACTATTTTTTCGAAATTTACAATTTTGATTCGCACAATATTTTTTTTGAAAACAAGCTCTAACAAGGAAAGGAAAAACCAAAAATTTTTTTATATAACCAAATTACATCACTCTAAATAAATTAAAAATTTTTTTTCCCCGGGGAAAAATTTTTTTGTAAATGGGGATTTTCTTTTTTAAAAACAATTTTTTTAAAATCCCGCCCAATTTTTTTTAGAAATTTGGGAAGGGCGCAGGACTTTTAAAAAGTTAAATTTTCAAGTTAAAAGGGGGTTTTTCTTTTTTCTATTAAATCCCTTTTTGCCAGAAAATTTGTGTTTTCCCAAAACCTATTGAGCCCCGACGATGACCGTGGGTCAAAACTGGGACTCCGGTTCCTGGGACGTATGCGGGCTTCAACCCAAAACTAGAACGAGAAATACTACTTGCAGCACTTTCCCTTTCCCCTTTTAAAGGGGATATTTTTACCCTTTTTACTAAAACAAGGGAAAAACCCGTTTCACAATTTTTATTTTTTTCTTTTTTGAATTTTTCAAGTAAAATTTCCCCTTTTTAAAATAAAATTTTTTAATATTTTTCTAGCGCAGTCGGCTAGGGGTTTGGGTTTACAAATTTTTTGTCAAGAACCCCCGATTTGATCAATAAAAACCCTTCCAAAAACAGCTAAAAATAATTTGGAAACCCCAAAAATTCCTTCCCAATTTTTTTATGTTTAAAACATTACATTGGGGTTTTTAAATTTTCGGTGATTCGATCTTAAATTTTTAATGAATGAGAACGGGGGAAAAAATTTTTTGATTTAACTGCTGGGAAGGAGTATAAAAAAACAAAAATAAAATTAAATTTGTTTAATTTATTAAATTTAAACCCTATATCTCTTACGAAATTTATATCTTTTACAGGGGAAATAACTAATTCCTTTTGGTTACTACGACTATGTTTTGTATTTTTTTATTTCCCCATGCAACTTGTTGCATAATTCAAAAACTTAAAATTTGATTACCTTAACATTTGGAAATCCAAAAATTTCTTTTTTATTTTAAAAATTTGTTGTAGTTACTGATTTAAAAATATTTTTTTTAAAAAACTAGGGGCGGGCAAAAGGAAATGGGAAAACAATTTTTTACTGATTTAACAAATCCCGCTAGAGCGAACTACGTAAGAAAAATTATAAAGATCCCCTTTTCCATAAAGGGGTGATTCCGAAAACTCTCCCCTTTTTTATATCATTTTTCCATTTGCCGCAAAAAAAGGGGTAACCCCCCCATTTTTGAAAAAAAAATCCGGGGTGAAAGGTTTTTTTTTTAACTTATTTAAATATTGTTTTTTTTTTACTTTCCATAAAGCTGTTGAATTTGGAGGGAAATGAGAAAAATTTTTGTGGGAAAAAAAAAAAATGTACATAATTTTTATTTTCTTTTTTCCTTTACAAATTTTTTTCCTGATGGGGCACAAAAAGAACCGTTCCAAATTGGGCATGTTTACTTACAAAATTTTAAAAAGTCTTTTTAATTTGGGGAATTACTTTCCTTTCCAAGGACCCTTTTGTGAAAGCTATTTTATTTAAAATTTGGCCCTTTCATTAACCAGGCATAAAATTAAAAATATAAAATTTTGCAAATTAAAGTTTACAAAACCCTCCCCAATCACAAAATAAAAGTAATCCCAAAATTTTAAATTTTCCCGTTGAAAAGGGATTTTTTGCGCGCCTTTTTTGCGGGGGCCTTTCCAATTTCTGCATTGGGACGCAACACCTTTTTACTGTATCTTTCTTTGACTTTTCTCCGGGAAAAAGTTCCCCCTGCTTAATTAAACAGGGGGCCTGAATATTCGTTTGGGGGGGATTAGGGCGTCAAAAAATAAATTCCCCAGGGGAAAATTTCAGGGGAATTATTTAAATTTTCCCCAATGGTTTCTAAATAAAGGGTTAAAAAGAATCCCCAATGACAAAAAATGGGAGGGCCCTGGGCGGAAACATTTGTATTGAGTCTAAAAACTTTTGGGCCCATTAACATAACCCTAAAAAGAACCCCCAAAAGCGTAAAAATTTTTTTTAAGGATTATTTATCATAATAGGACGATTCGTTTTTCGTAAAAAATTTTCCCTTCAATTTTATTTTTGTTTTTATTTTAAAAGGGAAAATTCAAGTTACAAAATAAAGGGGCAAAATAAATTTTTAAATTTCCCTCGGGGTTTATTAATTTTTTCCTTTTACCTAAAACTTTGTTTTTTTGTTGTTTTTTTTCAATAGTCTAACGCAAATTTCCAAAACCCTTTTTGGTCCCCCTTTTCCCCGGGGTTTTTAAACCGCCCAAACGGCTTTTCTAGGGTACAAAGTTTTAACTGACACGTAGGGTTACAATTTTTAATTTTTTCCGAAAATGTTAATTTCTTACCCCCGGTGTATAAATGTTTAGCCCAAAACGACCCAAAATGCCCATTATACTAATTTTGAGTCAATTTTTTGAGGTTTAAAAAGCTTTTGAACCCGGGACCTAACCCATTATCCAGCCCTCCCTTTTAAACCTTCAAACTGACGACTACCCCCAAGAATTTAAAATTTGTTTTTTAAAATTTAATTAAGTGTATCCCAAAAATGATTAAAAATCCCCCCATATATTATTAAGCAATTTAAAAATGTAATTGCGTCGTAAAATATTTTGGGAAACATCCCGCATCTAGTAACACTAGCTGTCTAACTTCTAAATCAGCATCTTATCATTTGAAAGTAGCAAAGAAAGCTTCCGCGTCTATATTCATCGTACCCATCTTTTGATAGAAGGAAAGATATTGCATAAACCAGTATTGCATCAATGTCAAAGTTTCTACAAAAAATTAATACTTGAATATTAATAAAATTTTAGGGGCCTGTAATTCCTAAGAAATGACTAAATTTTTTATTTATTTGAAAGGAAAAGATATCGGTTTTATAAAGTTTAAATGATAGCTTTAGATGCTTATTACCTGAAGGAAATACATGCAATGTAAAATTATATGTCATAAAAGTAGTAAAATGTGAACAAAATACTATTTTGACTTACATACAAATAATAAAATCACTATAAATGTACTTATTGCCAAAAAAGCAAAAGAAATTAAAGATGGCTCATGTAATTGGCCAATGAATCACTTTTTTGGAAACTATAACAGGACACCAAAAATAAGATTTATAAAGAAATAAACAAAAATCATTCCTGTGACATAATAGGCCTTTAAGGGAGATTTTTAACATCAAAATATAAAATAGCACAGAATTCATTTCACAGAAATTCCAACGTTTCACGTCAGGTTGTACGGTTTTCGGCTTGTACTTTAAATTAAGTTTCAATATCTAGGACATGACAATCATTACTCATTATTGCGTTTTGACCTATTTCTGTTTTCGGAGACAAGAAAAAGGAGACTGTTATTTGCGTTATCAGCATCTCTTTTTCCTATCAACATTATTATCTTCATTTGATTGGATGATTAAAAATCCCGGATTTAAATTACAGGGAAAAAAGTTAGTTTTTTTGCCATGTTAGGGAAATCATAAAGATGAAAGGATGGTTCGGCTGTATATAAATGGAAAGGTATGACCGGTTTGTTATTCACCCTGCAAGTCATAAACTGTCAACAGGTAAGTTCGAATGAATTTTCTGTTATTATTTCATTAAACTGCGAATCAGACGATATAGTTTGAGTTTTAAATGGAGATTTTAATCTTGTTGAGTAATTAAAGGATAATTTTTCAAGAGTGTGAATATGTTTTTATTCTTTTCAGATCATGGCTGTCACAAAAGCATTCTTCCTATTGGGCTTGGTAACGATAGTCAATGGACATGGTCGGCTGATAGATCCGCCATCCAGGTCATCTGCATTTAGATTTGGCTTCAATACACCACCTAATTTTCTTCTGGACAAGCAACTAAATTGCGGAGGAGTCTGGGTAAGTTACCGGTCAAACTACCGTTACAAAGCATTATCAATATCATATCATTTATTATACCAACCATTTATTCGTTAAATTTGAGGAAAAAACAAATATTTACATAAAATGAGATGTTATTTGTACAACGTTTATTGGCATGGTTCTTACTAGTATTTACACATCTTGAAATTATGTAGCATGCAGTTTATCACGGTAAAATTTAAAATCACATTGTTTAAGATCTACGCTAACATAAATCTTCATATATTTATTTATTTGTTTACTGGAGATACATTTCGTTTTGAAGTAGGTTTTTTTTCGTTTTTTTTTCTTTTTTGTTTCTTTTTTTTTTACTTTTAGGGTGATAATTTGACTGCTTCAAGTAAGCAGTAACATATAAATTAAAAATATGTCGTCTTATTCATATGTTTTAAATACACAAAAAGTAATATTCCTACCGATCATAATACATATAATCTATTCTTCAGGCAGGGCATGTATTATTACACATCTTACAGCCAAACGGAATGTTATCCAGCCTCAGCAGTTACATTTTATACTTGTACTCATATCTATGTTCATTTTATTCCGAATAAAGATATATTACTAACATGGTTAAAACATTCGGTTTGGGTTCTTTTAAGAATCAGTGGCAGGTAAATCATGGTCGTTGTGGTGTATGCGGTGACCCGTACCAGGGTCCACGTAAAAACGAAGCAGGTGGGGTATACGCTACAGGAACAATTGTTCATACATATAAAGAGGGTACGCAGATAAATGTTGTAATTGGTAAGTGACTGTCTTATTCATGCAGTATGACATTATCAATTGCAGAAAAAAGTATATGCATCTCTTGAACGGAACAGAATGCGAATGTAGGAACTATATCGATTTTAATGTTAATAGAGGATAGGTAAATATGAGCTTGAAAAACGTTTATCATTTATCCTATAACTTGCGTAAGAGCATTCCTGTATATTTACATTACAGCAATGACGTTGATACAATGCATTCTTATTACAATCACGATTTATTGTAACGGAATTCCGAATAATTTTACAATCTCAACAATATTGATACACTAAATTTATAAACAATTAATTCAAATATAATATTCAACTTATTTCATTCTGCTGAGTTCCTAGTAAAAGCGTATTATCTTACAGACATAACTGCCCCTCATGGCGGATGGTCCGAGTTTAGAATTTGTCCTAACAACAACATTCATAAAGCTGTCACACAAGAGTGTTTTGATCGATATCTACTGGCGACACCTAGCGGAGAAACCAGATATATTCATCAACGTGAAGCAGCTAATATTACAATCCCTCTCGTGCTTCCAAAAGGTCTAACTTGCTCGCAATGTGTTCTACAATGGAAATGGAATACTGGTATGTAAACAATTCAAATATCATGTATTTATCATATGATTTTATATAATTTATTCGAGTAGTAGTTTAAAATATATATTTTGTGTATCTTAAAGTGACAAACGTTCATCATGTCGCTACTATATATTACAAGAATAAAGTGTCGGAGGACCAAAAACCTAAAAACATAAAATTTGAATTTCTTACATAGATCACCTAAGCCTTTTAAAAGAAATATATGTAAAGGATAATTTACATATATGTTGAAATTTTTTTAATCGTAATTCATGGTATTCTTAGCCTGATTTTAGTGACATAGGTTAAAAGGATGATTTTTTGGTCATTTTCCACAGTTACAATAGTTACAATAATTATTCTAGAAAATATTGTTATCAAATAATCTGAAACATAGCAAACAAGTCTTTGAGCTAGACATACATCTAATGGAACAATAATCTCAAAAAAATATTTCAAGTTCTGTCATGTCAAATTCCTTTTAAGCAAACAGTTCAGGCTGTAAAGCAACCGAATGCTTATTCCAGCTATCTGACTATTAGAAAATGTTAAGATACTGAAATGCTTTAAACTATTGACAGTTTACTTATTAAATAGATAATAAAACTGTAACATATCTTATTTAGCCCATGATTATAACTGTGACACAGTTACCAAAGAATGTTGCAAAGGTTGTGGACCACAGGAGCAATTCTACGGCTGCGCAGATGTCGCAATAATAAAGACATCAAGCGGTGAAACTTCGTCAACAACGAAAACGACAAATCTTCCTAATGAACCTGTCGGTTTCATTCCTATTGGAAACAATTTCCCTTAAGCCGTCAGCAAGCGATTTCTATTTCTTGTTCTATGGAATTGAACGTGTTGTTTTGAGGGGAAAAGTTTGAAAACAGTTCAAATCAGTCACTGATTTTGCATGTTTGCTTGGGATTTGACGGAAGAGACATGGCATCTGAAATGATGGACATTTAGATCGTTATAGTGAGGCAAAGTTATGTTTACATAGGAAATGTGCACATGAATGTAATTGGTCAACAACGTAATAGAGTTTTGGAAGGGACATTTCATTGTACAGTTTTATTTCCATGTATTATTTGACAACTTGTATTGTAAATAAACCTTTGCTCTTTGTTTCTACATGTACATTTGTATTTCTTTCAACATTTTGTCTAATGTTAGCTTTTTTATAACATGCGAAAAATGTAATATATTTACAATAAAAGCTTTTTTCTACACTGACTTTTGGATGGTATATTTGTAGTTTTTTAAGTTTATTTAAAAACTTGTTTTCTATTAGTAAGATTGATTTTGTCAATTGTTTAATAGAAAGAGCATCGAAACACAAGGCTATCTGATGTTGCTTCTCGAGTATAAATCATATTGTCGAGTGTTTTGATGGTATTTCCTTTTTTTATCATAGACAAAAACAAAAACACATTCCCAGTCGTCACAATATAAAACCCCTGAAAAACGTAACCAATGAACGAGCATCTGAATATCGATCCCTTTCTCTGTCGTCAAAATACTTAAATCCCAGAAAAAAATATAAGCCAACCAATGTGCATGCTCTATTTCATTTCCAACAGACAATGTGATAACTAGAGTGCAGGTAACTAATACATGCACTCCAGTTAACTCACTGCATATAATGTGTATACAATTTATCTCTGACACAATTTGAACACAAGGTCCCCAAACTATGATACAACTTCCAGTTATATAGCCGACGGTACCTGTACTTGTAACAACATACACAATGTCTTAAAGTAATCATGAAGGAATAATGAAGGATATCAGTGTTTCTAAATAAACTATTAATAAGCATAGGTGTTGTGTCTTCTTTAATTAAGAAGCGCGACAAACGCTGCAACAAAACAAATATAAAATAAAATAACAAAAACAAAACGCAGCCTTATAATCAGAATGCTTCACTACGTTTGATTGGTGTAACCAGTATCTAATTATAAATCACTTTGTTTTTTGCAATTGAAATATCTGCAATAATAATATGCACTGCTCGGTTAACTTGTCATAATTTTAATAAAATGGTCATAATGTCTTAATTCGTATGTATATTAAATGTCAAAGTTGTCTTGCTACACTATACGATTCCGAAGCAGACATTTGACGAATATCAGGATACCTGAATACGTGATGGCATTCTAATTCAAACTGAAGACGTGATGGCATTTCAATACAAACTGTTTATAGATAGGTTAAGTGTTCTTAAACAGGGTATTTTTTGTTGTAGATAATAACCATCCTGACAGGCCTTATACCTCTGTTACCAAGGCCAACATTGCTCCTAAAGAATTTGTTGACGGGACAGATGTGCTGTTTTGTCGGAAAAAGGTAACAGCCAGTTGTACTGACATATCCGATGAAAGTGTGCAAACAATTCTGACATATCGTGTGGAAACTCTAAAAGTTTTCGTTTAATGATTACCGCGGAAAAAAAGATCAATGAATAAAATGGGCCCATGGATCCCTGAAACGATACAATGGCTGCAACGTCGTGATATATTTCTAACTAGTTAAAGTGTGATATACATGTATTTCTTACTATTAAAAGTTGACTGACTAAACGTGTGTCCATATTTTGAGCCAAAGAGAAGAAGTTAGATATGGAGTGAAACGATGATAAATTAAATATCTTATTCTAGTTAAAATGATCCTCACAATAATTATTGTTCGTTTCGTCATATTGCATTCGGGCAATAAAAGTACACATTAATTAAATTTCAATAAAGTGAAATAATATTTAATTTACAACAAGGATCGTCCTTGCAAAGGATGGTGAGGAGTAATGACAGTTGTTTTGGCCTTTGTTTTATACTAAATGATCCCCGTATTAACATCGTGCATTTATCTCTATAACATTTTTTAATTCACAAGTCTCAAGAAAATGCTTTCTTGAAAAATCCAAAAGGTTCTCTAGGCTTTTCATCACAAAGGTACTAAATTAACACATTTTATCATCCTAATGGGCTTGTTAAAATCGTGACAGGATGTGTTTGGGTAAAGAGCGATACAGAAATCCAAATGTAATGACAGAACTTCTTTCAGGACCCTCATGTTGCTTTTCGTTGACATTGGTTACCCTTTTTAAGAAAGGTTTGCATAAGGGTAAAGTAAACTTATGTATAAAGCAAGGAAATGCTTGCTTGAAATTCAAACTATGTTAAAACATTTTGTTGTTAATCGTTTGATATCACACTCTTGTTCAAACCTTATTAGATAATGTTTAAGATATGTTTCTGTTACTGTTTTAATATGTGAGCACAAAGTTATGATTTTGTTGATGTCAGTTTTATTTTTGGATGAAATATTTACGAAATATTCGAAAAATATCGAAGAAAAGACTATAGAATGATAAACATACAACAAATCAGGGAATGGCGCCTGCAATCTTGAACCGATCTTTAGAAAATATTTGGAGAAATTGAAAGACGTTCCTGAATATGGAAAGGTAACTGAACAGCTGCTTTATTGTAAAACAACACACACATTCATTGACTTGACTAAATTTGATGTTTTTTTGTTCCAGATTTTCTTTTCATTTTCTTTCAAGGCTTATATATATGCTATATACTAACCTCACAGAGGATAATAGCCATAGCTTGTCCCACAAAATTTGTATAATTTATAAAATATTATAGCAAACTTATCTATAAAAAAGTAAATTATTGTTATATTAACCCTGGAGTCAATATCAGATCTGTATGCATGTTTTCTTTTTTCTCTCAAAAAATCTATAATACATGTATGCATAAAATGTTAATGTTATATTTTTTTCCCGGTGACTTACATTGTAACCTGACGTGACGCCCATTTCAAAATGGCGACGCCCATACTGACGTCTTTTAAGGTTCGTCTCACAATTAACATTGCATGTTCTAGATAATAATGAAAAAAATGATAATTCTATTTATTTACTAATCTTTGTTAAGCTATAATATTTGACTTTTTCTCAGCTAAATTCTAAATAGACGAGTACCTCTGTATAGACAATTTATAGTGCGCGTGAGTGAATGCGTGCGCGTGTGTGTTTATTGTTTTGAAACACTAGATAAGAGATCACCAATTTTTACATTAAAAGTTCACTAATTTGACCTTTGACAATACAGATATTTTAATTTGCGGTACAAGGAAGTTGAAACATCAGAAAGAGTTAGCGTGTACTCCATTATATCAAAACTGTTCAAACGGTATCTAATTCCGTCCCTCTTTTTATCACGGAAGTAAGATAGGTCTATCTAGTTCTTTTTCTCTTTGAGCTGTAAATATTTATGCTACTCGCCTTTGAAATAAGCATTCATTGTGTTATTTTAGGCATATTTTGTAATTTTAAACGCAAACATTACAAGCAAGTTTGCTAACCGTCTGAGAGAAGCTCGTGTTTATACTTAAACGTGTTTTGTCGCTTTAGTATGATTTTCAAAATTTATCAAACATTATAAAAAGGTATTGTGATTCATACAGACACATTCACAGAGAAAAAAGCTAAACCTTAAGTTTAGATCCAGAGAGTTTCTTAAGATGTATTTTTAAAGCAATTATTTTCATTTTACTTTTTTCGAGATACTCTTTTAGCAGTTTATCTGTGGCAACAGGGCCGAGTGATTTGCGCGTCGGCCTATAATTCAAGGGTTGCTTGCCTGGTGGGTTCAAATCCCGTCAGGGGTAAGCAAATGTTTTTTTTTTTCAACAAAAAAACTTTACACTCATAGCTTAGTAATAATATCATGTCTTTTATTAAAGACAGATGGCGGGAAAGTGTATAACGTCTGTGTTGTATTGATACAACTGTGTTATAGCCAACAGTTACAGGTGTGCGTCAATATCTAAAGCTGCGAGTCGGATTGGTTGCTCATTGTAAATCATTTATACTTCAGATTAGACCTCAGGTAGAGTTACGCACACAATCTTGAAGCAATGAAAACGTTTTTTTACATTCAAGCAGTTGTCGAATCTTTATTGTTTTCATGGCTTCAACTAAAAAAAATGTGAAGAGTATGCTATTTTTGGCCAGCTGACTCTCGGTCAATATATAGGGACATTTTCTACTTCGTTATAATCGGCTTTTAAATTAGCAATGATTATGGATTTACTTTTACACATTTTAATAAAACTTTTCATTACAGTGAATATGGCGCCTCAACGGAGAGCCTATATTAAGATATAGAAAAATACATATAACTGAATTCTACGTTATACATTTAGCATCATTTATGACATTATTATGAAATGAACTCTTTAGAAGGAACGACATTAAATTTATATAAAGATTTTCATATTTATCTTATCTGTAAGAAGCATTTTTTGTAATGTCGCAACTTGCGTGAGATTATATAACGATTGTCCATATGTTTGACTATAAATTATTAGCATTGTTTAAACTATTTATTGACATTTTTAAATATATTTCTATATCTATTACAAGTTTGTAACTTAAACGTACAAGCCGACTTTTGTTAAGTTCATGTGGATTAATTAAATCAATGAGGTATTTTTTTATAATTGAATATAGTTATATAACTGGAGGCGTAATATCTTCAAAAATCTAAAACGTTTTTGAGCCTTTCCTTTATAATGCGTAAATAACATATTAGTATAACTTGATTCATATTAAAATATTTTTTCAAAATATAGGGATCAGTGGAGAGAGTTCTTTTCGAGCCAAGGCCACGTATCAATTGTTTATACTCAGGAGTGTGTTTAGTTTTGCTCAAACTTTCATCATCACATATTTGTTACAACTTAATATCTTTTTTCTAACTTTGTAACCTTTTTTAAATTATTTTTTATCCGCGAGGCATACACAACGAAACGTAACGTTATATGTGACCAATACAAATACTGACGTTAGTAAATTTGATTTCTGTCTTTTTCGTTTCATTTTCTTTTCCTTCTTTATATTTGACATTACTTGTTGACTAGTAAAAACATAAATTATAAACCACTTTTTCTATCTACATGTATAGATCAATTTTAGATGTACTGCCTGTAAGGGGTATGTTTTAACTGCTTGCATTATTAATACTAACAAAGCTAAATTGTTTTCTTTTAATCTGGACAAAAAATAGCATTAATCATTTTAGAGAAATTCAAAATTAGTATTGATTGAATAATAGTGAACGGTGTAAACTATGAGTGCCGGCTGATCTTGGTCTGTACTGGTCACACTTGTATGTCTATTGCCGCCAGCGGACTAAAGGTTAATTGTATCATAGTTTGGGGACCTTTCTGTTGAAAACGTGTCAGAGTTAAATCGCATACATATACATGCACACTGCGTTAACTGGAATGGATGTATTATTTACCAGCACTCCAGAGCATTGATTGGCTCATTTTGCCTGGGCTTTACTTATTGTGACGACAGAGAAAGGGAAAGCGGCAGAAATATCATATTCAGATGCTCGTTCATTGGTTACTTTTTTCTGGGGATTTATATTGTGACAACAGGGAACGTGTTGTTATGTTTGACTATGATACCAAAGAGAAAGAACACCAAAACACTCGGCAATCTGATTTATACGCCCCCTCGTACAACTCAGATAGCCTCGTGTTTCGGTGCTCTTTCTATTACATAGAGTGGACATATTTAGGATGACTTATCTGTAATACCTTTGAACTTGATGAACTGTTTACCGACATTTAAGAGAATGTTATCTTCTTGTCTGTCTATACAGCGGACTCAAACATTTGTAAATGGCTGTCAAAGTGTTGAAATACATTAGCTATTTTCCATCCGGGTTTATGTATATGAGGTCATAGCGGAAAGTGAATTGTGCCGTCTTAAATACCGGAATATCTTGGTAACAGTACGATAACATGTGTGTCTATAAAATGTACACAATGTACTATCAACTGTTTACAATGTATTTAATTTATTAACATCCTTATTATTCATAAGTTCATTTAGTACGTTTTATTTTCTTCCATGATTTATATCTGTGATTATAAACCCCATTGTAATGCAATATTTATTCTAAGAAATAGCTAAACATATTTTAAGCAGGAATGTTAAAGGTGTTATTTATATCATAAGTGATGAAATATACTAAAATTATTTCAAAATCTCTTACAATCACATTGTATTCATGTCTGAAGGGAGACATTTTTATTTTTTTTTATAAATAAATGTAAAACTAAATCTCTTTTAATTAACGCGCATGAAATTGATATATAATTTTGTAAGAAAAAAGAAATGTCATCATTCCTTTTGAAAATATTAAACTTTAAATTTCTGTAGGTTAAGTAATGATATCGCGTCCTTTCAAAATTCTATGCTTTCGGTTAATGTTATTTTGTTTAATTTGAATCAAGATTCAAACAAATATGTGTCTGAATTTTATGCTGTCCAATGTATTTTGTATCTTATTAATGACAAAAATAATAAAATGATTTAATGTACTTAAATTACGCTAAAATGATATTTTTAAAGTCCCGCCTTTATATTTAATTTTAGGACATTTACAAAAAAATGAATGAAAAAAAAAAGAAATGAAAATTTTGTCTGTGTCTCCCTTTATACTGCCCTCACACATACCTCGCGACCTTACTGCGTCCTTACTGCGACCTTGCTACGACCCAGGACGCAGCACAGTCGCCATGGACGCAGCAGGGACGCAGCGAGGTCGTAGCGAGGAACCCAAGGACGCACAAGGTCGCAGACCGTCGGCGACTATTTTGAACATGCACAAAACAGTCGCAGAAACTCTGCGTTCTTGCTGAGTCCTGGTTAGGTCGCCGTGGGATCGCAGTGGAGTCGCCATAGTCGCAGCAGCATCGTAGTAAGGACGCAATAAGAACGCAATAGACGTAGTACACTCGTACTAAGGACGCCGCTGTTTCAACAGACTGTGGACCACTAGAAGACTGTTTGTATGCGTCTCCGCCAGTGGATGAAGCCGCGATTTCTACACACTGTGAACCACTACCAAACTGCATATCTGAAGCGGCGACTGGGTCAACTTGTAGCACTTTAGAGACCCTCGCTCTTTTGCCTCGTCCGCCTCTCATCTTTGGAATAATATGGATGATTTAACTTAATACTAATTAAATATACGTCTTCACTCGTTGAAGGTCAGACTCAGAATGAAATTTACTGGTAAAAAGTATTGTTTTTATAGACGTAGCAAGAACGTAGTAGGGTCGTCGTACAGTCGCAGGACAGTCGCCGGACAAACGCAATAGTCGTCGTAGAGTCGCCGTAAGGACGCAGAGAACATAGCACAGTCGCAGCTGGGTCGCCGATGATCGCCGTGGGGTCGCCTTGGGGACGCAATACAGTCGCAGTGGAAACGCCATGGACGTAGAAGGGTCGTATTGAGGACATAGAGAAAACGTACTGAACACAAGACTGCAGAGCCCCGGACCGTCTGCGAGAGAAATTTTGGAAATTTGAAAGAAAACCAACGATTTTCGAAAGAAAAATGCTATTTTACTAGTTTTCAGGTCGCAGTAAGGTCGTGGTTTATGTGTGAGGGCAGCATTAAAGCCGAACACGTTCCTGGCGCTGTTGGTATAACAGCTTCCATATCATGTATTGAAAATTTGAAGATAGAAAACGTCATAGCGCCTTTCTGGCCTTTTTAGTACAACCAATGTTGCATTTCACGAACAGAACTTGAAGTAAGAATCAACGTTTGCAAATATCTTCAATATGTTTATGTGTGTTTTTCAGTCTCTCCCGATGGATCTACCTGTTAAATTAGTAAACCGCCCCGCTTTTGGAAACCGGCTTTCACTCACGCCTGCTAGGGTACGTGAGGATGACGCACTTTTTCATTATCTCTCATGTACAGTCTCAATCAAACCGAGTCTGCAATTTTCATGTTATTTTGCTGTGATTAATGCTTCCGAGGGATAACTTTGTTTCCAGATATTTTTCTCTGTTTATTACGTATTATGCATTATGTATAATTTATTTATTTGCAGATACTTAAACTGAATGAGAAAAAATGGCATTTTCACTAAGAGGAAAGCCTATCTTCAAACTATCTATGTTCCTAACAACCCTGTTGTCAACTACAACCATTGTCAAAGGTCACGGACGCTTGATGGAACCGCCTTCGAGGTCAACTGCTTTTCGATTTGGCTTTGCAACTCCTCATAACTATAATGATAATCAACTTAGCTGTGGAGGATATTGGGTAGTTGATATAAAGTATTCGAATTTATGATAAATCTACTGGAAAATTATATTAAGTCCTTTGCAATTATTTAGACCTTAGTTTAAACTACAATGACGAGTAAAGCATATTGTCATGGCAGTTTATAGTCATGTTATCGTTAAAGGCCCTTTGAGCCCCAAAAGTGCTTAAATTCATATTTTTCAAAAGCCTTTTACTCTTGATTTTTTGTTTTCTTTATCAAATAGGGCGTATTGACCAAATAGCAGTCGCCTTTTGCTTCTATGGCATAAAAGTAATTATTTAAGTTAAAGTGATTAAGCATTTTGAATGGAAGTAAAAATTCCACTTCGTTTACATTTTGCCATATTTATGACATAAATTTCACTTCAAGGACTTCTCTGTTCAAATGATAAGCGCGTATCATGCTTCAGTTCCATTCTTATAACATTATAAAAACAATGCTTGCCTTTTTAGGGAAAATTATTAGTATTTATTTCTGCGGACAAATGTGCCTTTATTTACTCAAAAATACACACATAAAGAAAAGAAACAAATAAGTTTAAACTTATTTTACAAATTAATGCAACCCTATGTTTAGAATAATGGATCAGAGTTAGTATTTCAATGCTGAATACAATTTAAGCATATATTGATAATAAAATACACAAAGGTATTGTTCTTATTATTTGCAAACAGAATCAATGGGAACTGAATCAAGGACGCTGTGGTATTTGTGGGGATCCATACCAGGGTCCACGTGAAAACGAGGCTGGCGGGAAATACGCTAAAGGGACAATAGTTCGCCATTACAAGGAAGGGCAGAACATAGATGTAGAAATTGGTAATTTATTATACATGTACGATATACAATAAACAGGAGTGTGGATGGTAGCGGGTTCAAGACGTATGGTCAAATCAAATGATTCTTGCGTTGGTTTACACAAATTTATGTTAGTTAGATTGTGTTGGAAGCAATAAGCATATTGAAACACTATCAAATCTTTTCCCGGAACCAACAAGTTCTAAGCAATGAGTGTAAAGTTTCTTGTTCAAGGAAACAACGACTTGCCCCTGACAGGGTTTGAACACACGCGGTCAGCAATCCTTAGATTACTAGTCCGATATGTTAACCGCCTTGCCACGCCGCATTGATTTGCCTTCTGGGGGGGAGTATGATAATTTTCTTTGCGCGGATCCAAATTCTATAGGCCTATATTTCAATACCCTTCGTTCCAATCGCCCAACTATTAGGTATCTAGCAAAGTTACGTATATATACTGGGATAAAATTAGTTTTTTTTTTGAGTGACTAATTATGTATTAACACAACAACTGATACTGGTCCGAAAAAGGTAACAGCCTTTTGACATTTTTTTTTAAACATATCTTGATAGATCTATTATTCTAAGCCTTGTACATTTCAAAAGTTTTGTATTATCAAATAATAAGCTTTTTATAAGAAAGTTAATGGGTTAAGTCTTTAAGACAAATAACAATTTAGACATATTTATTATCTTCTTAGAATTGATGGTTGGACACGGTGGATGGTCAGAATTCCGGATATGCCCAAATAATAACATACACAAAGCAGCAACACAACAATGCTTAGATAAATACCTTCTAGCGACACCTGGCGGACAAACTAGATTTGAACATGCGCACATGGAGATTGGTCTCCACAAATATGAATTAAAGCTTCCATCTGGGCTTACGTGCACTCAGTGTGTTCTACAGTGGAGATGGAACACTGGTAGGTGAAGTATATATCGATTCAATCAATCTTAACCAGTACGATATCAAATGTAAGTCAGTCACCAATCCAGTGATTACACAGAGACATGTAATTGAAAATCGCAGACAGAAAAAAAGAAAAGTAAATATCCCCAACGCCATTTTGATTTTTTATACCTTTACGGTATATATGCTTCAATGAAAAACTCCCAAAGACACCCTCACAGATAGTTCCTCCTTACATAACTTCGTATATAATTTTTCGGGATAATAAGGTGATATTGGATATTTCCCCTACGTCTCTTATAGGCTTACCTGTCCTTTGGTTAACCCATACAGCCATGTGTTATTCAAAGGTATATCTTCAAAATCATAGTATCATTATCCTATAATGCAAAACAAATTAAATGTTGTTTTTTTTTTCATTTTAACAAAAGTCATGCTTTAACAAGATAATTGATAAAGATATGTTGAACTACATTTAGCGTAAAAGTAACTTTTATGACGCTATTTGGTTTATTGACGTCGTATCTTACGTCATATGACGTATTTACGAGAAATCTCTTTTTAAGTCCTATGTATTTGAGAGGGGGGAATAGTGTGAAGCGTGTTAGAATTAATGGTATATTATCGCTCATTTGCCTTTACATATGTATATAAAAGTGATTTAAAGACACATATCGGAAATCTAAAGATTCACCCTTACATTTTATACAACTGACAGATCTGATTTCGGTACAAAACAATCACTTTTTAAGTTGAAAGAAAAATAGGCCAGCTGAGTTACGCATTACCTAATGTACGACATAACTTTGCTATATTTGTGATTCTCAAACTTTTATATGTTGTAAAATTTCAGATTCTAACAACAATTGCAATTTTGTTACCCACAAGAATTGCTGTAACGGTTGCGGACCTCAAGAACAATTCTACGGTTGTTCAGATGTATCAATCGAACGTGCCACAAATATCGTACATTACGCGTCACAAACAACGCCACGTGCTCCACCACATCCGTTTCAAGAAAGAGTTACTAGACCAGAGAGACCAATGGGTTTCATACCAATAGATGTAATGGGTCGTTATTTGAAGGAAGCCAAAATAAAAACATAAAAAATATCAATTACACATGAATACATAATCATGTTTTACATAGTTAACAAAGTTTTAAATGAATTTTAGTAAAGTTTGATGCCCTTGATTCTTCTTTTATTTGATCTGACATTTTGCTATTTCAAAATTTCATCCTTTTTGATAATAATTTTATATAACATTAAATATTTACAGCTAAAATTAATTATAAAGAAAGGATGTAAAAATCTTTATTTCTGTTTGGAAATACAGGAATTTAGACTGCTTTTGGATTCATTTTTTCCATTTATATTCTGACTCATTCTTGAATCTATAAACCACAAACGTCTTTATTTCATAGAAATGAGCAGTTTCCTCCTTCACTCTGTTATCAGCATCTTAAGTATCAATTCTACATTTCCTGTAATATAATTGGCGGAATACACCCGGAATAAAATTTTAAAGATAAATTTTAAATTAATAACAAGACGATAATCTTGCTGTCAAACAAAGGTGCGCACGTGAAGTACATTCGTATATATATATATAACTGACTCTGCCAAACATTTCATACAGAGATAACTGGACAATCATTGAAATAAGGTAGGTGATTTTTATTGCTCATTCTTTTTAAGTAAAGAAATAAAATGACAATTTCGATCCTGTTAATATCGGTGTTGCATCGGAAATAATATTATGCCTCAGAACCGAATAAACTTTAACTTCTTAAAGAACCTGTAACTCAATGTTTATGGTTTTATATAATAAATATAATGCCCAAATGGAAATGTATCAATATTGTAAGTTCCAAAAAGCATTAAAGATATTACCGAATTTACGTTTCGTGTTAATAAAGGGTGGTATTTAGAAATTTGTTTTCTAACACAAATATTTCAATAAGAAATGAATGCAATATATTTTGATGATTAAATATAATGTGTACAAATATTTCAATGTTTGAAAATTGTTTAGAAACTTAATTATATACATATATATAATTTCACTAAAGTGTAGTAACTATCTTAATTACAACATACAGAATTTTTAAGCAAGGGCATACATGAATTTTATAAGGTATAATTAATGATATTAGCGTATGTTAGATGCTTGTAACCTGCAGAAATATCGATAAATGTGAAAAGATTTGTCATCAATTAGCAAAAATGTAAACAAAATAGTATTTTGACTTCAATATATAAGAATAATAATTTCTAAAAAGCAACAGAAGCAAAAGATGCTTCAGGTAGCTGGCCAATGAGAAACTTTCTTGAAACTTTTGAAATACATTAAAATAATAAAAAGATTTTGAGAAAAATATAAATCATAATGGGCCTTTAAGGAAGGTTGTTATTTTAACAAACAAACTCCATAATATACAAGCAAATCTTAACCTTTATAATTATCTTGTGTCTTTGACAGATTCTTGTAAAGTTTTCTTTACTTTCATTCTTTTCGAACATTTACAGATAACTACAAAACTGAAAAAGAAAGAAATGCAAGGAAATATGTGGATAGTTTCTTCTGTTGTGTTATTGAGTCTGATCAATTTTGTTACGGGGCATGGACGGCTTATAGACCCTCCATCTAGATCTAGTGCACACAAACATGGATTCCCCTTAATACCAGTAAATACTATGGATCATCAATTGAATTGCGGAGGTTTCTGGGTAAGGCAATTTATCAGGCCGTTATTTATCTATTTATTTATTTATTATTTTGAAAAAGGTTATGCGACACTGTCTTTGAATTTATCGGCCATTTCTCTATAAACCGGTGTTATTGACGATAATGACCGTTCTAGCTCAGTTTCCATCACTTTAGTTAAAACAAAAAGAATAATCATATGTAAATAATAAAGCATCAAATACTACAATTACAGTGTAAAGTAGCAAGTTTAAAAGTAATTAACGCAGTTGATGTTTTTCCCATTTGTTTCCGCATAGACATGGCTACTATATGAATTATTCAAAATAACATCAATTATGCTTTCAAGTTAATTTCATGAGAACATATCGTTAAGGTTTGCATAGTGTGACACTTACATTAACATTTGATAATACACTTGCTCTAATATTTCAGAATCAATGGGGAGTTAATCAAGGTCGTTGTGGTGTTTGCGGGGATCCATATCAAGGTCCTCGTGAAAACGAGGCTGGCGGGAAATACGCAACAGGAACAATAGTACACACTTATACAGAGAATGCGCAGATAATTGTTGAGCTTGGTATGATTGTATTTATAGGTTGATAAATATAACTGTTACTGTATCGTCTTTATTATAATATTAAGCACTGTAGATTTAATAAGAAGACAGAGCGGAGGTCAGTAGTCTTAATTGCAGATAATTTCGTTAGATTCAAAAGTCAAACTGTATAAAGGTCATGTCACGACTTTCCAGCCGTACTGATGGCAGGATGGCTTTAGGTATAAAGCTAATTCTTTTTTCAGGCACATGCGTATAACAAGCTAGCTTGATAGTTTCTCAAATGAAATAATTAATAGCACAACTAAAGAGCTAGCGGGGAACTAATCCGAAGTCAGCGGCCTTGTTCACAGGACCTCTTACTTTATTAATAAGCATGCCGCAGAAATATTGGGACAGTTCATTAAATGTGCTCCTCATTTCAGATATAACTGTTGCACATGGTGGATGGTCGGAATTCCGAATTTGTCCCAACAACGACGTACATAAACCTGTCACGCAACAGTGCTTAGACAAGTTTATTCTAGCGTCACCTAGTGGCGATACCAGATACATACACCAGCGAAAAAGAGGCACATTAAGGATTCCACTTGTTTTACCACCTGGTCTAACATGCACTCAGTGTGTTTTACAATGGAAATGGAACGCTGGTTAGTAATAATCTCATTATATTCCATATCTAATACAAATCTTTGTATACTAAAGAAGGGGAGTTGGTTGGATCGATTCGTTTTCCGAAGAACTAATTTTCTTACCTAGTTAATGTAAATGGCATTTTATAAATCTTCAAATATACGTTCTGTCAAGTATGTTAATCTAACAAAAATTACAGAACTATGTAGCGAATTTCAAAGTATACCACTAAAAAAGCGACGGATTCAATCATACCGATTGAATTTTTCACCATTTTCTTGCTAAATTTGTCGCCTTGGTTTATGACCGCTTTATATTCAAAACTATAAATTGCAAGTGTTAAGGGTTTAAATCAATCTCACCATCTCGACTCTTTCCGTCAATAAGTATTTAGTATGGAAGTCAAAATACTACTTTGTTTTCATTTTGCTTTCTTTACGGCACAAAGCTGCATGTTCAGTGCTAATTTTTTTCAGTCGTAAAACATCTTACGTGCACTTAATGCATTATGAAAACATTATTAAACATTTCTAATTAAAATGTATTTCTGAGGCATTATGTGCCTTTAAAAGAAATATGGAAACAAAACATAATCTTATGTATTGTACATTACAGCCAGTAATTTCAACTGCGATCCAATCACCCACAAATGCTGTAAGGGTTGTGGCCTGCAAGAACAGTTCTACGGCTGCGCTGATATATCTATAATAAAACCATACAGGCCACCAACAATCAAACCATACAACGGACAATGGGCATTCAACCATATTACAACTGTGAAATCAGACAGCGCGAAAATTGCATCAAAACCTACCACAGTGAAACAAAATTTCATTCCTCCGTTTAATCGTCAAACTCAACCATATGGCTTTATTCCGATCTTCAATCGCCGTGGTTAACTGCACGAGGTTCTCTCGCTAACGTCTATAATTCAATGGGCTTTCAATAAAAAACATCCTTTTGTATACAGTTCATATTTACAAGTACATTTTTTGATGTATTTTATATGATTTTTGAAGAAGTGTTTATCTGCAAAGACAAGACTGTTTTACATTTTACATTTTGTTAAACGTATCTAATATTGACAGTGATACTTTATGTCATGTCTGAATGTTTTTCATGCATAATCTATGTTTTTCTATTGCCTTTTGTCTTTTGTATTTTTATCATTTTACAATTTTATTAAAAAACACTAGTTACAAAATTGTGTTGTTTTTTTACTTATAAAGGATAATGAATTTAGTTGTCTAGATTCTAATATATAAACATGTTGACCGGACGGTTCTATTCAAAACATCATGTTTGTTCGTTCGTTTGGTCGGGTTAAACCCCAGATTATCAATATTTAGATATAGTGACACATCAGTGTTTGTCCTTCATTTAATGAGGACTTCTCACAATGAATCAACTTAATCCATAGAAAAGGGCAACATTTGCACAGGTATTAGACATAATTTAATCACTCCAAAGACTTGAACTAGCATACTTAAGGTGCATGGACGTTACTTTAACCTTGCCATGAATAGTTAACTTCAATGACGATAGGTTCATAAACTCTGTTATGTTATAAATAACGCACATGGTGGGATAAGATAATGTTCATAAATATCATAATGCAACATGGTAGTTTGCATAGTCCGAACAACCAAAAGCGTGATAATAGTTGGCTGACGCAAAGTTCAACCGTATCTCTTATCATCTACATCATTCATTGCAGCTGACATTGATGAACTAATGCTAGCGTGTGGACGTGAAAAAGAGCCTCCTGTGGGGATTGCCTTCAATAGTTGAGACATAATATTAACAGCCATCGCTTATCCCTTATCGTGATCGTAAGAAGCGACAAAATAAGCCCGAATGCATATAACTGGAGTCTATGCATCTCTTAGTTCCAACAGGTGAGGTGGTTTTGGGCCCTGGTGCGGCTTTGAATTATTAACACCAGAGGTTAGCCAGAATTACCTTTTCTGTTCAGGCGCCAAATGACCTATACTGTGTTGGCATGGTGCGCCGTACAAACAAGCAAAGAAAACTAGGATTGGAATTTGCTATTTCAATGCCAGTATCATTTGATATATCAACTTAAAAGGGGTTTATTTATAAAAAAAAGTGTAAGATATAAACAGCGATGTAAACATATATTGAGCAATGAGGTTATTTAGAATGTATCAAGCATTTAAAATATAAAATATATATTAAGATATAACGATACAATATTCATTATTTGTCATAAACATAGATTCATATACCGGAAGTGAACATATTTCTTTCAATTTAGAAAGAAAACGTACATAAGTTTCCCAATATTGTGAGCTATGAAAGGAACTCCACTGACGTACAAAACTAAAAATGATAATAACATTGACATTTGATTTTTTTCATTTACATATGGATTAACACAATATTTAGGTATTTTGTTAGATTAAACAGTTGTATATAGATAATAATGTCATGGTTTCCACGGCTTCTTTCGAAATAATTGTTTAGGATAGGTTTTTTCTTCTGGAGGATAAAAGTTGTCCATTTCTTGTTCGAAGTTGCGCTGTTGCGAATGTGAAATGAGTATTGACCGGTTTGCTTTGGAAAAATGGTTTGCAAGTCCACCGTTCTGAAAACCTACATATATAGGCGACTCCATGGATGTAATACCTCTGTCTACTTTATAGTAACTATTGAAGTTGTCCCAAAGGTCAGTCTCTCCTGAATGAACGTCTTTTTCTGGTTGTTTTGATGTAGTGTTATGCAATTTGTTTACTGCATTGTCTGTATCTTTGTCATCACCTGGCCATATCTTTACTTTTCCTGAAATGCATAAATTTCTGTTAGAGATTCTGTAGTCTACTTAATTCGCTAGATTAATATTTGTTAATCATTATCTAACTCTATCATTTGTCCAACGTATGGCAACATCGAGCCACTTGTTAAAATTGGAATCACAAATATATGGGTAAAGGGGATATTTACTGTACGATTGGATACCTTAGTAAAACAAATTATTTAACATTTCTTAACGATTGGGTACTTAAGAAAAATATTTTATCATACATAAGTCATATGTATAGCTGTCTGTTATGATACTATGAAACATAGTCTGTGGGATTTAAAGCCCGACAGTCTGTTGAAGGACAGACGAATGGGAGTCCTCGACCTCAGCAATTAAGAACATAAGTTAAAGATAAATATGAGAATAAACACAGAGAGAAAGGCACTGCATAGAGTACGCAGTTAAACGCCAAAGAAAGGCAAACATAGTAAAATAGAAGGCCCTAGACACCTCAAAGTGGTATACATAAGAGCTTGGATACAGATCCGTGTCATAGATGAGAGAAACGGATAACTATTATAACATAATTATTATACACTAGGACTGGTCTCAGCTAAGGAAAATTATGGACAAAAAGAAAATGGAAAAGATCATGTAAAAATGGCATATGACTTCAAAAGTCATCATAAGTCAAGTAATTGAAGTAGGAAGTGAAATGATTAAATATGAAAAGGAAGAATGGCGCTCAATGAACGCATCCCCAACACACGTTTACCGGCAGCCCAGCAGGACAATTATTATGTCGACCAAAAAAGCACCTGTGATACCTTTGATAGGGCAATCATGTCATTTAAAGTATGATGAAACGTGGTCATCATATATAACATAACTAGACTAAAACTATTGCAAAGCCGAGTAAAAAAAAACATAGCTCCTATGATTTCTATAAAATGAATTTCATGAAAATCTGCTAAGATATTCTACCTTTTTGACAAAGCCATGTCATCAACACAGTATGAGCATCCAATGTAATAAGTGTAAGCACTACTCCAACGACAACCATAAGAGTGCCCAGTCGCCCTACAAATGAGAAATAAAATTTGTCTAACAAAAATGGATAAAAGACTAATTTAGCTATAGACAATAGTTAACATGCGTAAACAGAATCGTAAGAATATTTTTTCTTGCGTCTTATATAATGACAAATGTTACATGTATCAATATACAATGTATAAGAATAGATATAAGAATATACATACACATTTAAACTGTTAAACATTCGACCATTATGGTCTACATGTCACCTTAGATAACTTTAAGATAAGCACGTCTACAATATTGTGATATTAATTAAATGTAGAAGATAAAAAATAACAATTTCTATAACGTAAATTTATATGCTTATGTTGCATTATCAATTTTAACATGTATATCTGGAGAGAAACGGATATGAAATGTGCTTTTAACCTGTTTTTGTAATTTATCATTCTTACTTTTGTCAGAGTCGAATATCAATGATAAAGTTGTTTGATTATATTGTCCCTCGGTACTTTCGCAGGAAATAACGAGCACAACGGTGTAGGTACTCCATTGTAATATGTCGGATATTAATGGTGTCCTTGTAAGGTACACACTGTAATCTTTAAAATATTGACAATTTTAAAATGCATTACATCCATGTATACAGTAAAAAGGAGTCTTGTAGAGTGCGGAAATAATATGGTAAAGCACTCTTTTTATTATATAACATGAAAAAAACATATATTTATTAAAAACAGTATGCGGAGTACGGACATCGAGACCAGGAGGACCAGGAAAGTGTGTTGTCATTTACGTTGTTATCAATACGACATGTCGACTAATGTTATGATATACAACATTCAGCATATTTAAAAAAATGATGCAATATGCAAACTCAACTTGGTAATGATTGTCTGATGACTGTTGTCTGTTGTACAAAAAACAAATGTAACTGAAGTTTCGAATTTTCCCTTCCCTCAAACAATTATGATAAATATAATTTAAGCATGGTAACAATAGAGAAAAACGGACTTGTCACAAGAACACCCGAAACTGAAAAATTGAAAATGTTGCAGACTTTGATTGAGCCAGTCAATGGACGGTAGTAGTAGCAGCAAAATACCCACATATCCCCTAACACTAGCTTCAGCAGAATTTAACATCTAAACAAACATAAACATAGTGTCCTTTAATTTGAGTAATAACGGAACCTTAAATATGACAAGTACATAACATACCACGAACAGCGATATATGGCCTCCAAGAAAAGCTTACATATAAAAAACAAGGGGCATTACTTAATAAAATGGAATTATGAAAGGCAGATCAGAGGTTATGAAGATAAGTTTGGCCCACGTTTCTTCTGATTAAACATTCCCTCAATATATCTGAAACAAGTTTCATAATGATTTGTTATACCTTAAATTAAGATGCACTAAACAAAGCAATTTGTTACCTGTTTTACTTCTATTTCTTATATCAAAGGTCGCATGGTCTGGAAATGTAGAATGTACGTAACAGTCAACATTGTCTACATCACGTTGCCGTGATATTGTGAAGTCATAAACGTGTCCTGTCTCCAAGGCTGACAACTCGATGCTACTCGGAAGCGAATTGAATATTATTGGCTGAAAAAATATTTCAGATGTTTATTTATACATTGATCTGTTTGGCTTGTAACATGCCACATGTTTTGATAAGTACAACCGAAATCACTGCCGGCATGGCCTAGCGGTTAATCTATGTAATCGAAGGATCACTAGCAGGTTAAAATTCCATCAAGGGCAAGCCAATTTTACTTGGCAAGAACCTTAAAACGCATTGCTGATTTGTTCCAGGAACGGATGTGTGACTCTTGCTTTCAAATTATAGCTCCATTTATAATCAAACTTAGATAAAGTATGTCAAGTTAATTCAAGTGTATAAATGATAAGACTTAAATTAGTGTTATTCAATGAATCACAAGCTTACAATTTATATAATTTAACTTTAGATATACTGGGAACTGCCTTCAGCTGAGAAATTGCTGTAAAAATGTGTTGTGTATTACATATAAATCACAAAGTTGAATGTAAATTAAACTTTAGAATAGGAATAGATAATCATAAGGTTAAAACAACAAGAAGGAATTTATAGTATAAATATAGTCGCAAACTATTGAAAAATATAAAACAAAAATACCTTAGGGTCGTTATTAACAGTAATATTGATAGCGCAGGTGCTGCTGCTGTCAGAACAAGAATCGTAAACCTCAACTGTTAGTTCATACAGAGTTGAGGGATAGTCAGGGGACAGCTCTCCAGACACTGTTATTTCACCTATAAGAAAAATGTGAATAAAACGCACAAAACCATACGATTTATCTTCACATGAATTAAGGGCTAGGCAAATTTACGGGATTAATATAAAGAATAAAATGGAGCTTATATTCATTATTACCGGTTATTAAATTAAAGTGTGTTGATACCCTGTTAAAGGGTACTATTCCAAACCAAAAATCTTCGGTAAATGAACAGCTCTGAATCAACACGTTCATGTTGATATAGAGTGTTTGTTTTCATTTTGCTTATAAGTAATCTAATATCAAACAAAGCATATTTAGATTTTAACGATATGTTTTAAAAAAGACCATGTTTCACCATAAAGGTAACAAGCTTTTTAGAGAAGTAGTCGTCAATGGTTTTATAAAAGCAGAACAATTATTTCATTGTAATATAATTGACATGACTGCCTTGAAAGAATAAAGGCAATTGGTTTAATTTATGTCTGTTGCATGTTAATTGAACGGAAATAAGACTTGTTGTACTGTACTAGGTGACTGTAAGTATTTTTTCGTTTATTTTTTACCGGTCTTTAACACAAATAATGCTGCCGCCTGATAATAATGATGAGACAAATATATCTTAGAGACAAACCTGTATTAGAATCTATTGCAACAGGTAATGATTGGTCATTTGAAACAAATTTAATTGAGGAATCCGGATCGTGCATGTCCATATTTTCAACGTGCAAGTTGATCACGTGTTCACCAACATCCAGCGTGTCTGAAATAGTTTTGTGTTTGTCTGTGCAACTCACTGAGCTCTCTGAAATAAGACAATGGATAGCATATGTTGTGTGGAGAATAAAGAAATCGACTGTGAACAATTATAAACTGATAAGATGGGCACATACTTTAAAAGGAAAAATGCATTGATTTTTCATGTTTATATTATTTTCTGTATATGCAGTTAAGGAATTTTTAATTAAATTTATATTGCATGAAGAGAACATAAAACAATAATAAAAAGTAGAAAAGAAAATGAGAACAAAGATTAATAAAACAAGGCGTATTTTACAGAACGCTTCCCCGACTCAATCCAGCCAGACCAGCAGGGCACCGGAAGGCACCGAACTGAAAACAGGAGAGTACACAAGGGCTTTGAAGTTGCCAAGTTCGGACAACAGTCAGATAAAATTCCTTACTTTTGTTCATGTAAGCTTTTAAAGCATATCCTCTGACGTCAGAAATGCCAAGATGCGTGGACTGTTTAGTAACAAATTCAACAGCGTCACCAATTGATGCTTCCAGTGCATTTGTATTTACCAGTTGATCCTCTGCGCACACACTGGGGTCGGTTGGTGAAACCGGGTCACAAGTTGTGTAGCGTAAAATTGAAACGTCTTTTTGTACGCTTTGATGTGTAAAAGAAAATTTCTTATGTAAAATGCATAACAGAGATTATATGAGTAAACTATTTTAAGATAAAGTGGATTTTCCTAAAGGTTCATATGAGATTATGTAAATGTGCAACATGTCTTACCAATCCCCTGTCCCCCTATATCACTGGCTAAAGCAGTATTCAATCAACATTCAAAAATTACTTAGGACCAGAAAAAAATTCAATATATAACAATGCAGTCTTAAACACCATCAACTATTTTTTAACTGCTTTCGCATTTACTACTTTGAGCAATAATTAATTCACGACTTAGGTATTAATTTGTTTCTATGTCGTTCAAACCAAACCAGATTTGTTTACAAATTGTTAAAGCAACTCTATCCTTATCTTTGTTCTACATAACACCAAATGATATTTTACAATAAATACTTACAACCCAATTGTGTCGCCTGGTTTAACATGGATTGCATTTTTGTTCGATATAGATCGACCTTCTTTAGAAATGCCATTTGCTGAAAATAAAATTATTTCTAATAAAAAATGTCATTGGTAAACAATCGTTGCTGGATGCATTGATTTTACATATACTATGTTTTATCTACTTCTGCATGCAACAATATTAATACATTATAAACAATTGATAATCAAAATAAAAAAATCATGAAATTGTGTTATTCTTGTTATTGACATGAAATGAAACATTTTAGAAGAAATCATCGGATACGCTCATGTTCATTGTCAAAATTGATCGTTGGTTTTCTCATGTTAATACAATATATAAAACAACGAGTGCATTCTTATTTGTACTCAAGCTTCCTAAACTAACAGACAAGTAAATCAAATATAATATTTGTAAGTTTGGTTTGTTTGACGGCGCACCAACACAGTATAGGTCATATGGCGCCAAAACAACAGAGATTATTTTAGCTAACCTCGGGTGTTATCAAAGATAATACAATCAAGGGATAATAACATCAGTGTACAAAGTATGGCACGAGCATTAAACGTCTGTAATTGATAAGCGCGAATGATTTGAAATTTTGCACATAAGTTACGATCTACGTGAAATGATATAAAAATCTCAAAAACACATTTCAAGTCCGGACATGTCAAAAATCCTCAGTGAAGTCCCTTTTAAGGTTTTGATAGAAAAACAAAAATACTGTACATAAGTGTCAGACAAAGATGGGTTTAATACATACATTTATGTCTCACTGCATTTTGACCCAGCAACATATACTTGTTTTCTTCTACAACACGTCTCCAAACCTGAACTATTACCCACCCAGGTCCTTCCATATACATTTCCCAGGCTATTATTATTCCACAACACTGGATTGTTCCAATGGGATTTGCCATCAAAATTGTGATATCTAGCCAACATAATGATGAAAAATAAAGTAAAATTTCATTTAAAATCAGTACAGTTATATATAAAAATCATAAAGTAGATACCAACTTTATTTCATGAAGAGCAATTAATGTAATAAGTCTATATTGTATTTTATATGTATATCAAGCAAGATGTTATGTATGGGAGGAATACAATATAAGTGTATATAAATTGTTTTTTATGGAATGGCACGAAAGTGCCATATTAAAAGTCTCATGGTAAGCCGTATGAACACATTTGAGGATGTTCCGAAGTTTAAAATTTCACCATTTTCGTGTTAAAATGTTAAATTCTGCTCAAGCCGGCGCTAAGATTGTACTTTCCAGTACCGACCATGAACAGGCTTTTAAGGGATTCCGTTTTTCTCTATTTTATGATGATTCAAAATTTATACAATAGCGTTTTATTTATTTATTTTTTGTTGGGGGTGTTGTTGTTTTTAATCTTGTAAATTTCAAGCATTAATGTCACTTTTCGTTTGTCTTGTACTACGTTTCTACAAACAAAATAATGAAAAATAATATTTTTAAAAAATCAAAAAATAAAGTTGATATACTTGTGTACATAAATTGACAAGTTGAAAATAAGTAAAGATAATAAATGCAATATACTAGTAACTAATAACGATGTATACATCTAAGAATTTCAAGAATGTGCCTAAACTGAGGTTACAGGCATGGACATTAGAGTTTATAACAAATTAAAGGCTATCTGTTTTCAGATGTATTAGGAAGAAAATACTTTAATATATCAAACATTCAAGTATGTACATATAAACATTACATTACATTTATGGTGGCCGCATAACCGAGTGGTTAACGCGTCGGACTAGCAATATAAGGATTGCTAGCCGTGTGGGTAGGGGCAAATCGTTGTTTCCTTGAGCAAGAATCTTTACACTAATTGCTCAGTACTGGTTTGTTCCAGGTACGGATTCAAAAGTGTGTTAATACAATTATAGCTTCCTCGTAATTGAACTAAAATAAGATATGCACAAAGACAGTACATAATAACAATAAAGCCTTAGGGTTTTAAAATATATACGACTGATAAAGAAGCATCGATGATATCAAAGCAATACTTACTTGCGTCTAGGGAGTCTGGAGAATTCACATTGGCTGCATCAATGTCCCCGGAACCAACTACCTGCCGGTAGGTGCACAGTGCTAAATCATGATTAAAAACTATAACATTTTTGCTTGATACATCACTATAATTATCGTTTAATTATTATAAATATAAGATGTATTTATTATCGTACATAAAATCTATATAAATATATATACTATAAAATATATAAAATAATGATTCTAATAATGTTTATAAATATAAAATTAAAGTAACATTATGCCCATCCATGGGTAGATATAGAGTGAACAGGTTAAAGTCAAAAGAAGTTAACAATTTCTCATAATTATTTTCAATTCTATAATTTACTTCACATGAACGATAAATAACTTACTAGACCCTGTGAAATGTGTGTAACTATCCGTCGGAATGTATCAGTAACTTTCAATTTATAAAAAGAGTGGGGCAGTTTTTTTATATTTAGGTAGATTTACTTTTTACCCTGAACATTTTCAAATATCATGTGTTGGTCGAACACCATTATAACGACCAGTTTATTGAAATATATAGTCAATTAAAGTGAATTTGACAATGAAAAAATGAGCAGAATGTCACTTAAAACATTTATTAAACTTTATACGGAAAATCAATCTTTAAGTAAATCATCTATTAATGTAAAGAAAATGTTATTCAAAATGAATTTTGTTTAGATATAGATCTTGCTTAAGCTTTCACTCGTATCATTATCGTGAAGAAAATCGATAACTGATCAAAATATAACCAAATGTATCGTAGTAAGTTTTGTTTAATTAAGTTAACAATTTGGTTTGGTTCAAATGCAACATAATTTTATTGAACAATTTACACTAATAGAATATATATGTACATGTTATGTTTTTAACTGTATAAAAATAAAAAAAAAGATCTTAATATTGTTAAAAATATTGTTATAATCTTTATATGTTTTGTGTCAATTTTGTTTGTTTGAGTTAAATTTGTTTCAATTATGTAAATGTTCATTGACAACTTATTCTCTAAATAATTATTATACAATTTATTATTAAAATATATTTATTAATAATTATTTCAAACTGTGTTTATGTATTTCAAACGGTTTGATATTTCAAAAGTTGTTTTAAATATAAATGTTTATGTGGAAGTATCTATGGTACTTTTATATATTTATGAAAGGTTCCATTAACAATACAATTAAATTACCATCGTTGTATATACAAAACAAACTAACGAAAGAAATGAACTATCCATTTTTATTCAAAAAGTGGAAGAATAAAGTAAAATATTGCGATATTTGCAAATGAGAAAAACGACTTGATACTTAAGCCAATGTTTAGACACAAAGGGACTGTATTTATATATGTTCGCTAAGGAAAAAGAGGGTCCAACCACCTACAGTCAGGCAAACAAAGTACGGGACATGTCAACAGTCAACATTCATGCCCTTGAAGGATTGATTTTGAACCACAAAGTAGTGATAATTTACACTTGTGTAATTGCCACAGAGTATTAGCTAACATATAAATTTTGAGTATAATGAATTGAGGCACGAATAAACTAGCAAATGATTAGATATACCATACATCATTGTTGTTTTTTCACTGTATATAATTTTCAAACAAAATCAAAAATATTGTTTTTGTAGTTCTCCTTGCTTTCAATGTATGTGAAACATGCGACATTCGTTAAATATAATGAAATGGAAAAACAAGAACTGCTTAAATTTTTGCTTTATCCCATTTGGACACAGAAACAATATGTGTAATTTCCTTCACCATGTAATTTGTTCGTTTAATGTTTATATATTTTTTAAAACTCGCATATTATGGAATAAAAAAACCAAAAATATGTTTTGCGTATAAAAAGAAATTCAAGAAAAAAGAAATTTGTTGTAATAAATAATAATACAATGTGAAACGATTTAGTTTAATATTCAAAACATAAAGTGTTAAAATCTTACCAGATTGTGCAGGTAATGTTGTTATGATAACAAAGAGTCCTATTATCCAAGCTTTAATATGATAATTCATTTTCATCATTTTCATTATGGGCGTTTTATAAGAATGACATTTTTTGCGGATTTTCAACCTTTATGTAAGACAAGTAAAAACAAATTAAAAAGCATTTTGTTATCAAGTTTAGTCCAAACTTTTTGTGCTTGTATAACTTGAATGATTGAGAAATGGCTTGAATCCTTCTGTCTTTACAAAATAGAATATTGAATCAATCTTTAACGTAAGAATAAGTTTATTTAAAGTGTATTTACTGTTGAAGTTATTTACCTCGGTTAAAATATTAACGGCGCGTTAGACTGGACATAGCAACGGAATGAAGTTAAGCGAATTTAAATGGCGTTTTAGTCAATGTCATTAAAGTTCAAACGCCCGCGAAGACATTAGTTAACTCGCAAAGCTGTTCTCTCTATATATTCAATACATAAAAACATAAACAACTTTCCTCGTTGTAAAATCTTTGTATATCTATAATAACTATTTTGCATGAAAAGTACATTGGATATTTTCTTATGAATGAAAAGTGAAACAACTTCTTAAAAGTTAAAGTACACTTCTATTACCATTACTTTCATCGTTTAAGTGTTAACTTTTGATACATGTAGTATCCACCTACCAACGAAGCAGCAAACATAGATTTATTATGTTAATGTGACATGGTCATCAAAACTTAATGTAAGTCAGGCATACCATTATTTCCGTTTGTACGGTTTATAGAATATACTAACTTTTTTTCTCACTTCCAAAACTGGACAATGATGATATTTTACAAAGTAAAAAAACTTAAATAAATGAGTAAACTAAAATAATTATTAAGAACCAATTTTACCTAATGTAGCGCATTTTTCTCCTTCTTTTATTTAAATACAGGTGTCGCATATAATTTCTTTCTGGGTTATTATCGTACGATAGTCTATAATATGATAAGATAGACTTTATTAATACAAAGGTAGCATGTCCACCGGACGATATATTTAAACAATGTATGTTTTCGATTCAGATTTAAGGTAAACCCCATTAGTATTTCAAAGATTGATTATATATCATGATATATTTTTGCAGTTGTTTTGTAAACTGTTCTTATGTAATGTAAAATTGTTGTGGTAACTTGGCGGTGAACATGCATTTGTTTTTGCCAATAAAATATTTGACTTGATTTTATAAAAACAATAGAAATGTATCATTTGGACAATTTCATGTAATACTACTTGCGAAAAAGAAAACATATTGATAAAGTTGTAAGTTATTTAGTATGAAAATTTATATGATCAATAATAATATTTTGTTCTAGATCAATTTATTATCAGCTATGTAACATTGGATCATGTATCTCACACTTGCCAACATCATTCATATACATTGTACATAAATAATTATTTCGTTTTTAATTATTCAAATATACTCGTACCGTGAAATAAATGAAATAATCTTATTTTGCGTGTGTATACTTTTCTAAATTGAAAATTGACGAGTAGTCAATGATCTTTTGTTCATCAATATAAATAAATATATGTCTACGGGGAAATTATATATAAAGGGAGACAATTGGAATTCAATACAGTTGTACTTTCCCCTTCGTTGGTTCAGATAAAGATACAAGTGCGCATATAAATTATATACCACCAAATCGATATGCAAGACTTATTACGACACAGCGCCTGGCTGTGTATTAATTTTCTTATTTCTCTTAAATATATGATAAATTATGTTTTTCTTGGAGGCGGGGGGGGGTCTTTTGTTCTATATGTAAACTTGATGGATATGGGAGGGGGTTGCTTTTGTCCTTTATATTAATTCGATGGGGGATTTTGTTCTATGTGTAAATTTGATTGGGGGCTTTTGTCCACTGTGTCATTTTAGATGAGGAGAGGCTTTTGTTCGGGAGGTGGTTGGGCTTTTGTCCGTATCCCACGAAAGGAAAAGTAACTATGACTTACTGATATGTCAGAATTTGTGATGTCAAAACCAGCATAGTCAATGTTTTTCCCATTCAATGTCAATGAGTTATTAAAGACTGAGGACTGCAATGCACAATCAACAGATATGTCTGAACATAGTTATCAAAAAGAACAGAAGATAGTGGAATTATTAATTGACCATTAATTGACCATTAATAATTTCATACAGAACTGTATTATTTTAATAAGTGATCAATAAAGATTGAAATTGGTGGGTTTTTAACACAATCACAATACAATTTGCAACAATGTTTAAACGATTATACAGTAATGTCTAGGCAAAATGAATATAATAATGAGTCATTAACAAGTACGGAAGAAAATGAGGTAATGCGCAGGAAAAAAATTTACATCATTTTCTGTCTGGACAAACAGTTTCAATTAGTTTATCTGATTCAGTGCAAGAGCTGACAACAGGATATAAGATATATTATTAAATGATCGAATTAAAGCTGCAATCTCATTGGTTCAGGCAGTAGTCAACCTAACATTTTATAGAATAATATTCACTGGGTGAAGTATCATATTCACTAGCTGAATTGGATTGTCCCAGTCTAAAAATAGATTGAGACCCATATTCAATGACAATATATCGTAAAATGTTAATTACGCGTCCTTATTAAAAACAATTATGGCGTTTTGTTTTTATGGCATATTTCTCGATTAAAATACCATTACTGTTACAGTTAAAGGTATCAGGCACATAGACTAGTGGAAAGGTTGGTAAAGCTATCTGTCGCTTTTATTTCCCACTGTCATCTTTACCTGAAACTATTATTCTAGATCCACTGAGTCCTGATGAGTATACTTGGAAGCACTTAAAGATGTTTGACAGGGTCACTTTATTTCTTTATCATTCTTCTAATGCAGGTTTCTCTGATATCTCATTTGATGATTTTTTGACAAAGCTGGCTCTAACAATAGATGATTATTTGCTTGCTTTCCGTGTAGGTTTAACAAAAATTAAAATATTATGTGGAATGGGAAGCTGATATTGATCTTCAGTATAATATACTTGACCAATATGCATTGTGTCTTTTATCTCAAAAAAGAGGAGTCTAGAAAAGCTGAAAGTGTAAGGAGTCTAGAGAAACTGAAAGTGAGATTCGACAGCAAGTTTGTCACATTGGTAATCGCTTACTTTTAAGACTGGGTTAAGAAGCTGTTAGTCTGGTACTACAAATGCCCAGACGTTTACAAGAAATTTTGTTTTTTGTAGACACAAACAGTCCAGAAGCAAGAACTTCATTGTTGATTTTTTTAGATTTAAAAGAGCTTTTCCTGTTCACCAGACAAAGTTGGGATGGACAACACTTTGAAATGTTACATCCGGATACAAACAATTTAAAAGCACATCATCAAGCATGTCAATAAATAAAATTCCTTATATATTCTTAACTTAAAAACACACAAGGAATTGATAAAGATCAATGAGTCATCATTGTCATATACATGTAGTTCAAATAATGATGTAACTATCAGATTCTCAGATAAATATCCGTTTGGATTTTACATTGATTTAGATAATGTTGACTGACCGAAATAAGATTTTAGATTCAGTTTTGCTGTTTTAGTTTATTGATCATGTATATTATTATGATTTTTATTTCACTTTTATAATTAAAATGCACCAATTTTGTATAAGCATCATCATCTACAGTAACCAGAACAAAGTCTGCCATTTCAACAAACATGACGATAGTGCCTTCAATTATATCGTGTTTATTTTTTGCCTTTGTAGTTAACGTTACAGAACATTTTTAAATTAGCAGAAATCAATAAGCTACATGATATCACATTTGAAAATAGACTGAACAAGCGCATGAAATGATTCTAGGACATTTGCCCTCGGATATTTGCCCCCCTCCCCCACTCTTTGCGGTGATGGACATCTCTTCCACGTATGTTTTTGAAAGGGCGGATATTTGCCCCCTTAAAATTTTTGAAGGGCGAACATCCCCCACCTGTGTAAAAATGTTTGTTCAGTAATCTTAAACAAGTGTCGGTCTTATTGCATGTATACGATTATCATTTTTATAGCTTTTGGTTTACAGATCTGCCGACTCGAGGGTTTTTTCGGGTAAATGAAAAAAAAATCTGCACAACAGAAGAAAAGGGAGAAGAAAAAAACCCACTTCATTCATATTTTTGCGACGAAATTCGCCGCAAGTTTATTTGAAATATTTATGTCGTTCAGGGATCTATATCACCTTTGAAATATGATATTATTTCATCACGGCTTAAATTACAGCCTTAACTTTATCTGTATATGTATAAATTCGATAGTTTTTAAATTCCATTTGCGTAAAAAAATGTCACCCCCTTCCCCAACAACAACAAAAATGTCAAATACACGAGTAGTCACACTCTAGTGGGGTAGAAATCATATGCAAGAACATTTTAATACAAACAATGCTATTTTAATATAAACAGTGCTTGTTTAAAAGTACTTACATCTTTATTTTTCAGATTTAGACTTAAAAGTGTTTTCTCACAACTTCCAATTAATAATATGTCAATAACTGACACGATGATTATCCAACTAAAATAGTTTCCCTCTTGAGCAAAAATTAAATATGTGCAATCGTTTCTTGAGAAAAAAATGGTGATGACATTTTTTGTCTGATCGATAAAAATGAAGTCAATTGAGTGTCGGCACTTCTTTGATGATTCTGGTTAAACAGCAGGGACTACACGTGTGTTAACATCAAATTTGGATTATTTTGACACGCCGACTAGTCACTTGTCAGATATCTTTCCGTGTGAAAACTTCATGTTTCATTTATAAATGAATGCTATTTTGTTTTCACAAATGTGTTCTACCTGGGATAAAAGAAAGTTATATTTTGTCCCAGATTCTTAGTATGTATATACGGTGTTGTGAATATCCTTCTTTATTATGTATGTAAAGATGCAACTGACGTTATATTATTATTATTATAAGCTCGTATATAGAAAACATTTGCGAAAATCCAAACATTTCATTGTTTAGAGATTTTTCATTTTACCATACAAATACAATTTATGTGAACGACATATGCTACATCAAAAAGATCGATATAGATAATGCAAACATTAATCTTACATAGACTGTTGTTTTCAAATGAACGCTGCAATAAAATTTAAGGAGAAAGATTTGACATACGTTATATTATTCAAACATTACAACTTGGGAATAAAAGAAAAGAGAAATCAGTCTAAAAACGTACTGGTATTTATTAACAAAAACGTGTTGGCATGAAAATGGCCATGGCTGGATAAAAGCATTTTAATTATTTAACCTATTGAAATGTCTATGTGTTTCGATTTAAGACTACTAAATGTCTTTACTATAACTGTTTTTGCCCCGGCAACGGTTGCAAAAACGTGGTAGCACATGCTTCAACTCAGGGTACACAGGTACAGATGATGAAATCACTTTACATGTCTGTTTTACAAATTGATCAGCTCCGATAACGGTCGCTGAGAATTATAAGCATTCTCCTTTTTCTATATCTTTCTGTTCCAGCCATGACGTGCTAATATAGTGTTATCTGAAAATATAAAGGGGAAAAAGCAAAAACAAAGAAAAACAATGAAATTGAACGGGTGGGTTTGTGGTGGGATTCAAGATTTGAAATGTAAATTTTAGATTTTTTAAACGAACATAAACTAGTCTACCTCTTCTATGGTGAGCCACGATTGAAAGACCGTTCCCAGAATTTGCTCTGCCTTATATATGACATATTCAAGTGTAAGTTGTCTCCCCTGACAACTCTTTTTGAGGCCCTACTGGGGTGTTATTATAAAAAATGTTAAGTTGTAAGATTTGAATAAAAGATTTAATCCTCTAGCGGATAAATCGAATATTATTCAAACATTACAACTTGGGAATAAAAGAAAAGAGAAATCAGTCTAAAAACGTACTGGTATTTATTAACAAAAACGTGTTGGCATGAAAATGGCCATGGCTGGATAAAAGCATTTTAATTATTTAACCTATTGAAATGTCTATGTGTTTCGATTTAAGACTACTAAATGTCTTTACTATAACTGTTTTTGCCCCGGCAACGGTTGCAAAAACGTGGTAGCACATGCCAAAAAGCCAACAAGCAAAGTGAAACATTTGACTGTGGGCTTCCGCCAAAGCGGGCTACCACAGCTACAATTTTGCCCTACCCAGCCATGGACGTGAATGTGTTGAGAGCGCCCGATATTGTATTCAATAAAACGTGGTTACCAAAGTCCGACAGATGTGTGCCATCCGGCCTATACAACCTAGGGTTTTCTGTAATATTCACGAATTCGAAAACCCAGCCAAACGCCGCCCCCGGCACCCTCCGTACACAGCCCCGGGGAATTCACCTAATGAAGTGTAATAGCGAACTCAATGTTTTCGGCCTTTTTTTTTTTTTTTTTTAATTAAATTGAAATAAAACAGTTATTTCTTTATAAGAAATTAATTAAATATCATTGTATGAATAATTCCATACAAAAATAAAGTAAATACACAAGTTTACGCAGAAAATAACCTTATTTATTATGGAAGATTCCACTACGTCTGTTTGAATTTTATTGATTTTCATTATAAACAATTTGTTTTGTTTTTTTTAAATAATTTGCAATAGATATTAAACGAATATTGATAATTTTTAAAAACATCAATTTTTTTCACCTTAAACGGTTAAATAATGATAGAAAAATAGAAATATCTCGTAACTGTGTTATGTACTTCATTTGGTGTAATTCCCCAGAGCTAAAAGGGCAACGTACCGGAAAACGGCACCCAGCTAGGTCCTCGAAAAGGTCAATCAGGGTAACGAATATAATAACCCCCGAGTTTAATAACAAATGTACTGATACAACTATTTATACGCATGCGGGTTTTATTTGCAGTTTTGTTACATTGGACATATCTCCATGACCTTCTTGGTAATATCTGTAGTAACAGGCATTTTTTCCAGTAAAGTCCCTGTTATAAAGTTTTTGATGTCCCATATGATTTCAACTGAAGGTCGATTTCCTAAATCGTTCGCGCCACAGTGTAATATCAAAAAAAATGCGCATTTTTAAACTCAAGCAAGTATTCTATCGAAGGTTTTAAATCAGAAACTTCCATGCCCCCCTGATATTCCCATATAACATTATAACCAAGAAATTTAAGTCCTCACTTCTGCGGCATGCTGTTTGAAGGCATCCCTAATAAATGAAGAGCCTATAATCCAAACATCCGACATTTTACAGGCTGAAATAAGTTTGATTATATATTACCTATCCATTTAATATATATAATTATCAAGTAATGTTATCAAAACACATGTCAGGCACATAATGCCAACTAGGTGTTATAAATTATTAAAGACACATAATATCAGGCACATAATGCCAACTGGGTGTTATAATTATAAAAGACACATAATGTCAGGCACATAATGCCAACTGGGTGTTATAAATTATAAAAGACACATAATGTCAGGCACATAATGCCAACTGCTTGTTATACATTAACACATTTAAAAAACAATATCAGGCACATAATGCCAGGTACATAATGCCAATAAATATAACCATCCTTTTATTACAACATCAAAAACTGCTCTACTAAATACATCAATGTGTATTAAGACCCGGTAACGGTTTCTTAATACAAATACATATTTTATTTAAATAGCCAAATTTTGGAAGTTATTCCATGAAATTGTATAAACTTATCGGATGTAGGATTTGTAAGCATAAGATCGCTAACGGCCTCTGTATTTTATATCATTGATAGCACAATCCTCACGGAACATATTCGAAACCCCGCCGATTCGAAAAGAGTGTGCTTAAAATTCATTTTTTTCTCACCTTCAAGTTCATAGTCCTTTTTAATACTGAATTGAACTGAAAGGATGTTAAGGGACTTCCATCGAAATGGAAGAATAACGGCCCTTGCACGTTACTTCTAAAATGTAAGAACTCTTTCAGTTTTTCATAACAGAGTTTGGTCAGTTATCGGAATATCAATAGAAACATCCGACATATCTCTGGTCGTTTTTGGACATCTAAAATACAGTCTAATGAGATTTTGATTGATCGTTACATCATCTACATTTAAAAGTACCTTTTTTGATTTCTTTGAAGGCAATGCAAATTCGCTTATTCTTAACAGACCTATGTAGGCAAGACAGAAAGCATCAGAAAACATTAAACACTCATATTGTGATCTGCAAGCGTTAGGTAGGGCTGATTAAAGCTGGATCAGTACATTTTGTGTTATCGGGTGTCTTGTGTCATGCCTTTTCGATAATCTACGGAACCCTTCTAGCATACTATTGACTATGAATTGTTTTGTATTGTCAACCAAATTGTTTTTTTATTAAAATAACTTATTGTTGAAACGTGAACACCTACTGTTGAAAATGAGTATTGACGTAAAGACATGTATGCAATATATTCCGTTATATATAGTTATCTTACTTATCTACCCAATTTTTTTCTGTAAACATAACATAACCATTGAATTTTTCAAAAAAAATGTTAGCCAAATATGTGCATCTTCTTTCATGCCTTGGTTGACTAATAAAATGGAACGGTTTCTTTACATATGACATGGCGCCATAAAAACGTCTTTTAAAGGCACGGCCACTGGGAATTATAGCTTTCGATATAAAATTAAATAGACTGATTACAAGTAAGTGTTTGAGTCTAATCATATTAAGTTTTCTCACCCAAACGAGACTGTTTTCGCTTTCCTTATTTTTTCTAAAGGCATCTTAACCATTTGGTTGATTGAACCAATTTCAAGACCCAGGTATGTTATAGTTATAACAGGTCCCATCCATTTTTCGACACCAAGTTCATTGCAAATTTTATCAAATGTTCGCATTAAATTCAAGCATTTATGATTTTTCAAAAGATTTTTGCCATAAAAAAATCATATAGTACTGTAGGTGGTCAATGTAGTATGATTTTGATTCTTTAGACACAAGCCATTGTAAAAAACTTTGAAAAAAATTCAAAAATAAAACATGAACATGATGCGCCTTGTGGCAGCATTTTTTGAATTCAATATCCCTCCTCGGTTTTTATACCTAATAAATCAAAATCACCTGGCCATATAAGGCATAAATTAAATGCAGAAATGTCAGCTTTTGCCATAAAAGCAGAACCCCCTATTTCTTGAACTATTACTGCATTTTCGAATTGTGAATATTGAACATGGCAAAATTCAGGATCGATAAATTCATTTATACTTTGCCTGGTGGGTATGAATGCTGAAAGCACCGTTTTGTTTTGGTACGAGACCTACGGGATTTATTCTCAGATAAGTAATTGGCCTTTTTTTAACGGTCCTAGGATTCGCCCAAGTATAAATTCGTCGTGAAGCTTTTTACTTAATAAGCATTTTTGATCAATTGCCGATTTGAGATTTTTGGAGAGAAAAAAAATAGGTATTCTTGGTCCCGTATATTCGAGTTTAAAACCAGTGCTGAATCCTTGTAAAATGTAATTGGTATCATCCTTATTTGGGCATTGAAAGAGTTTATCAGCGAGAAACTAGATATTAATTGGTGAAAACCCAAGGTCCCATAGGCACTCTTTGAGCTGGCAATATAAATACATAACGCGGTGTGAATTGCGCTGTTTGTTTATTTGCATAACAGTGTATTGAAGGGTGGTTACCAAAGCATTTGATGCAAACGTGTTTGTAAGTACATGATACATTTGTACAAAAGCCTTTGTTATTAAAGTCGTAACATTTTTTTGAATATTCAGAAGTGCCGGCTGGTTCAAGGACTGTATAGTCTGCATATATATCATCCACAATTCTGAGTCAATATTTTGCCACTTTATACCCAAATCGATTAATTTTTTAAGCCTAAATTACCTATCATACTCAAACCATCCGACATTTCTTGATCAAGTTGATGCCGCTAAACGAATGTTTGCAAAATATTGTAATAGGTTATTGACTTATTCTGGATGTTTCATAATGAAAATACGCATGTATACCACGAATGCATCTGACCAAATTTCTATTTTTTTATTTGTTTCGGGATGCTCTTGGGTACTCATTATAAGTTCCCCGTCAACAAGTTGAATCTTTTGTTTATTTTATATTTTCCAACATATTTTTCTTTGGCAACAAAGTGTGTAACTAAACTCTACAAATTGACTGTTCCATATTTTATCTCTAGTACTGACAGATACATGTGCGCCTAGCATTGTACCGGAACAAGTATTTATCATGATATTTTTTAACTTCACCTTTATTAGCCTCTTGATGATGAAGATCAACATCTACCGGAGGTCCGGATTGGCCATCCATTTCGTTTTCTTCACAGGGCTCCCTTACGGGTCTGTCAGCTGGAGGCATGGCTGTAGAAACAGACGTCCGAATGTTCCTCCTCTTATTGATTTGCTGTTGGAGCGTGTCTCGTGTATGGCCACGTTGTTGTCGATGTTTTAACATTGTTGAAAAATAAAATAATATAAATAAATAAATTAAATAAATTATTATTATTATTATCAATTTTTCTTTTGGTGTATTTTATTTATTTCCTACTTTATATATTTAGATTCTAATTAGATCTACTCTTATCTTTATTTTCTTAGCCTCGATGAAATGACGTCATAGGTATGATGTCACGCGCGTGGATTTCAATGAGACTGATAATTTTCCCGTTGGAAAACATGACCGGTCATAATCGAGCCATATAATCAATATTGTATTTTTTACCGTTTTATAGCTATGCTCATTTATTCATTCATAAGATAATGCTCTAGATTTTAAGTATAGATCACGTGCTGAAACATCATATAAATATAGAATCTATAGGTTTTAAACTCAAGATCTAGATTTAAATCCAATTTTTTATTTATTTACTAATTATTTCAAAGAAACCGAGTGACTTTGACATATATTTTGTGTAAACAAGGCATCCAAAATTGATTTTTTTAGACTACTGTCCTTGAAGTGAACAACAGCTGGTCATCACCACGTGGTTATTAGATCTGGTCAAAGTTCTTATCTAATAAACCCCAAATATTAAAACAAATAATAATGAGCAGAAATATAAAATGTATCTTAATCTCCTGTGCGATTCTAAATAATATTCGTTGATATTCAAGATTTGAAATGTAAATTTTATATTTTTTAAACGAACATAAACTAGTCTACCTCTTCTATGGTGAGCCACGATTGAAAGACCGTTCCCAGAATTTGCTCTGCCTTATATATGACATATTCAAGTGTAAGTTGTCTCCCCTGACAACTCTTTTTGAGGCCCTACTGGGGTGTTATTATAAAAAATGTTAAGTTGTAAGATTTGAATAAAAGATTTAATCCTCTAGCGGATAAATCGAATATTATATTATTACATGTATTATAAGCTCGTATATAGAAAACATTAGCGAAATTTCAAATATTTTATTGAATTTTACCATACAAATACAATTAATTTGAACGACATATGCTACATCAAACAGATCGATATAGATAATGCAAACATTAATCTTACATAGACTGTTGTTTTCAAATGAACACTGCAATAAAATTTAAGGAGAAAGGTTTGACATACGTTATATTATTATTATTATAAGCTCCAATATAGAAAACATTTGTGAAAATCGAAACATTCCATTGTTTAAAATTGTTTCAATTTTACCATATAAACACAATGTATGTGAACGACATATGCAACATCAAACAGATCGATACAGATAATGCAAACGTTAAACCTGTAAATGTTTTCAACGATCAGTCATAAATCGTTTGGCAGACTGTAAATTCTGTTGCTTTCAAATGAACGCTGCAATAAAATTTAAGGAGAAACGTTTGACATACGTTATATTATTATTATAAACTCCCATGTAGAAAATATTTGCGAACATCCAAACATTTCATTGTTTAAAATTGTTACATTGTACCATATAAACACAATTAATGTGAACAACATATGCTACACCAAAAAGATCGATATAGATAATGCAAACATTAAACCTGTAAATGTTTTCAACGATCAGTCATAAATCTTCGAACAGACTGTAAATTCTGTTGCTTTCAAATGAACGCTGCAATACAATATAAGGAGAAAAGTTTGACATACATTTTGTTATGAAGTCGTACAGATTTCCAAACGTCCAGATAAGCTTTTGAGCTTAATTATACAGAAATAGAACAGAACAGAACATTGCATTGGCATTAAATATAAGCAATATGTATAGCCATATCAATATGAGCATGTATAGTGGACAAGAAGAACAAATATTAAACAATTTTAATTAAGATTAAACAATTAAGATTAAACAAATATTTTCAAGTTGTTTATAGATATCTTAATTCTTAAATTGGAGTAGTTTCATTGTCTTTCTCTGAAAGCCAATTACCGGTATAAAAATCGACCTAATTTGAAAATAGATCTTATAGAATCTCTCGACATTAAAGTAGTAAACTTTTGAATAGATAGCAATCTACAAAAATACGGGGTGAAAGTTTTAATTCGTAACTGCCTATATTTCGGACAAACAAGTTAATAAAGATAAGGACCATTGT